TTCTACGTGTATTTCACACTTTTAACAGACAGCTCTGATGAATAGTTTCAGGCTCGTTAGTTATCGTCGTTTAATCATCTCTATTAATCACTATTAATTTTTATCGCGATTAATCGTAGAAAACTTGCTTCAAAGAGGAACTACAAATCTGTTCATCTTTTCCTCGCTATCCAATGAATTAACATTACCACGACAGAAATTCTCGATAATTTCTATACTACATTATTGAAGCAACATGGAATATCTGAAATCGGTGAAAAATCTCAACACTTTATTTTATCTCAATTTTACTACAGTCTACTTAATTCGTACCGATCGAACAAGACAGAGTTTTCAACATTAGTTTCGATGTTTTACATGTACAGTATCGCTCATAAGTATTTTCTCGTCCATTTCTTTTCCTTTATTCAAAAATATGATACATTTTTCCACAGAATTATAGTTTCTCATCTAAATCTTATCACGTTATATTTTTTCACGAAACAAATTAAATCCTTGAGTCTCCCTTGAAAATTAGTTACTCCTAGTCTGCTCTTCGGGTCTTTTTTGACCCATCGCTTCCACATTTGTTTAATAACTTTTGCTGTTATCGACAAAATGTAACGAAATTGTAATTAACACACTTGTTAATGTTCTCCTAATTTAATATTAAAGATTCATTGTCTGACAAAAATTGGTGACAAAAATTGCACATAAGGTGTTTGGGTCTTTTTTGACCCAAACATATAAGGTTAAATGAAGATGCTTTTTGAGAGATAGAAGAGGTAAATATTCATGAATGTTAATGTACATATGCATTAGGATGAAATGTAAGGAAACGGGTGAAACAGAAACTCCGCTTTCACATTCGTCTAATTGTAAGAAACGTTAAGAGAACACGAGTGGCTGTTTTCTCACCTTGGAAAAAATCCGCTCTTACCGTGGCTCGAGACATTTTTCGAAAGTGTTAGACTCTGCACCAGGGGGGCGAACGCGTTAGAACGCGAGCAGCTTCAGATGTTGAGGAGAAACTTGGAAAGCATTCGGCGGGGTACGAGGAACAGTGGACGGAAAAGAAAGTTTAGACAGCCTCGAATTTCACGTTCGAACGGTGCTCTTTGCAATTTCATAACTCTCGCATAACGATCGCTGGTCGCGATTATAGATCGACGTTGATTACGGAAGCGCGTTGCGACAAACCGTGAACAATAAAGCTCGCGGGGCGAACACGATCGTCAACGACGAACCCTGTTTCCGAAGGCGGTGAAATTGCATGCCTTAGGCGATCGTTCACCGCCTTCTGGGAAATCCTTGGAAATTATGCTGCTGTCGGAAGAGACACAGATTGGATTTTAAGGATGCTAATGTTGGATGAAATATACCTGTACGTTCGGAGC